CTTCTGGACAGCAGTCAGGTCGGCAGTCTTACCCATGATTGCGGTTTTGAGTAATGAACAAGGCTGGGAGTTTTTAAAAGCCTCAGGAATCTTTTGCAGGTGTTTAGAGTTACGTCGTTGATTCAGATGGTTAGGTTAATAGCTTGTTTAGAGAATCTTTTCATGATATGCTAATTTTTTGGGACAGGCATTTTGGGTTTTCATGAGCTGTATGCCATAATCATCAGTATTAAAACAATTAAAGACCTGAAATATTTCAGTTGGTGTGCAATGAATCTGAAATATATGAAATTTTCATTTTTATCATTACATTATGGAAAATAATGACCTTTATCACAATATGCTAATTTTTTGAGAAGGACCTGTATAATCATTCAACTCAAGTATGCAAGGGAAGAAAATACACACCCTGTCAAGGGAATGTGTATTATTTGCACACGCCATTCTCCATCATTTTCATTGCTCTTTTACTGTTATTAAAATGTTCCATGATCCTTACTATATTTAACAAATCAGTCTTCATATGACTGGTCAGTAAAGGGACAGCAAGAGAGAATTCTATTATCTCCAGGTCTGACTGATATGATTACAGTGACAACTTTCTTAGAGAGCCTATGAGAGCTGCTGGCCTTCCAGATTCCTCCTCCTTCTGACTGCAGCTGGGTTTTGATAACAGCTGGACAGGGTGGGGAAGGGCTGGCGGCTGGTAGCTTCTACAAAACAGATTTATTTTTTTCTGGTCAAGAAGTTAGAACAGGTCTCAGATAGGTGAAAGCACTGATTAGTGTGAACTTGTAAATGCATTGATCTTTTGTGATTGCTGGCTGTTTATTCTCCAAAGCTTTGTAATTCAATTCAATTCAATTCAATTCAAAAATACTTTATTAATCCCAAAGGGAAATTATTTGTTGTTGTAACTCATTATCCTAATTTCATTAAGAGATGTTATAGATACTGATGGCAGTAGACAGGAAGGATCTCTTGTAAAGGTCCATCCCACAGTGGATCCTAAGAAACTGGCTACAGATGCCATCCGATCCGTCCACCCAGACTCGGCTGACCTCTCAGTTCCCCCGGGCTGTAGGACTGCCTGAATGCTGGGCTGAACTCCTCCCAGAGCGATGGCCACTCCTCCCAGAAGTCTGCCGAGCTCCTTGTCGCTGCAGACAGCCAACTGTAGGTGCTGAGGGACGATCCTGTCCTTACGCTGTCATGAGCCGTGTTTCCTGCTAGTTCCAGGATCTCAGTGGTCAGGCACTCGAGCACAACTGGCAGGTAGATGAGAATGTGTCCACAGAACATCCTTTCAACTCATTTGAGATGTGGGGCTGTAGTTGAAATATTATTTGAGCTTTTGAGATGTTAATCAGCTGCTGTTGGTTGTAGAAAACTGCCTTGTTGCCATGGTTACACATCATAAGAAATGTCCAAAACTAAAAAAGTTTCAGTAAAAATCTTTCCAGCTGCACAGCATCTGATACCAGAGGAAACAATCATCCAAAAAATGGGATTTACATCCAGAAAAAGAGGAATTAAAGTTTCCAAAAGCAAAATCTCAGAATGAAAGTAACAGAGCTGCTCCAACATGCAGCCACCTTGAGCGGCGCAATTCCAGAACAATGCAGACATCCATACAAGGTATATCCCGGGACATCCTTATAGAAGAGATTCATAATCTCTGTGGATTTCTTTCCTGGTAAAATAAAGGTTTAAATAAAATATATATGATGAAGCTTACACCTGGTTGTTTTGGGAGTCTCTTTTTTCCACGACACACCCTACACAGCAAAGATCCTTTTGGATTTGAACCTGAAATCTTCTGTGAGAAACATTTCTGGCACAGGTCTAATGTGATGCTGAAGAATACGATGGAGCAGCAGGTATGGGTTCAAGTTTATGTTGCATTTCAGAACACGTGGAGACTTTAGTGGAAATAGGCTCCACAGATTTTGCATTCTGTAAATGAGGGGTTATAAAGCTGTGTTATTACCTTCAATATGTGGTTGCTCTTGAGTTTGCTGGGCATGCTCTCATGCTGTGAGGCCAGTCCAGAAAGTACAGCAAACCTGCACATGGCCAGAAGTTCATGTCAGATCTGATCTGAGGCGTTCAATAAAACCAGGGATTTGTTTTGTCGTTTTATTTTTACCATTTGTGGCACTCAGCATTCAGGCCGTTCTTCTGCAGAGCCTCTTCTGCCTCCTCCAGACCTGCAAACATTAGACAGATTAACAGGAAGTAACTTCACGCCTCCCAAAAACACAACCATTCAGCTGAAGGCGAGGTAAGATGCTCCACACAGCCACAACCTGTCTACATGGTTGTTTTTAATCAGCTGACTCAGCATGTTACTTCAGCAGGTGTAGTATGGTCATTTCTCACTGTGCTGCAGCTGCTGGAGATATTACAAGAAAAGAAACATACAAGAAACACATTTCTGCTTTAGTTTTGCTGAGTTCTGTTTGCGACCAGTAGTCTCAGGGGGTTGTTTGTGTATCCGTCTTGTAAAACTGTATTCAAGCTCATGCGCATAGTTTTGTTGTCCACCTCTACCCACTTTGGCAACCTCTACAACATCCATGATTTTTTTCTTTTTTGGCACGCTTTAGAAATGAAGACAGGCAGATTGAGAGCAGTTTTACTGTCCTTTGTTTCCCAGAGTGAAACAGGGGAACGGAAAATACAATCCCTCGTGTCAGCATAATAACTTGAAAAATCAGAGTGGTACTAACTTCCATTTTGGTGTGTGGCTGCATCTAGAAAGGTTCCTTTTGAAAATCGGGTTGCCACGTCCAAAATCCAAGATGTCTGTCGCAATTTATATACATGTAAACTAGGGCTGAACAATTAATTACATTTGCAATAATATCGAGATAAGATAAAACAAGATTTTCTAATTGCAAAGGCTGCAATTTGACTGGTCCCATGACCTGGTTACGTAACTTGCTAGGGAGAGGAGCAAACCAGAGCAGGGAGCGGGAGAAGTCAACTCTGCACTTTAACCAGTTGCACAATGGCATCAGGCTCAACAGAAGCTGATCCATCATAAACTTTGGTACCAAAGAGAGACAGCACATCTGTGGTTTGAATTATTTTGACTGTAAAAAGAAGACAGTGCTCAACAAAATGTACTGTGCAGAACCTGCCTTGCTGCTGTTGCTACCTCTCGAGGTAACACCACAAATCTTTATCAACACTTAAAAACCACCACAAAGCTATTTAAGATGGTTGGCTAAAATGTCAACGACCATTGTTTCAACTTCATTAAGCAAAGTAGCAGCCGACAGGGCTCACTGACCGAACTGTTTGAAGGTATGAACATAGTTAGAAACGGCACGTGGAAATAACTCGAGCAGTAACGGAGTTCATAGCAAAGACATGATGCCCATTAATACATTGACCCAGCCTGGGTTTACAGCTTTGGTAAACGCAATGGATAAGCGGTACAGAATGCCCTCATGCATACATTTTAGCCCAGTTGCTATTCTGGAGCTATACAAAAAATACAGAAACAGAGTTGCAGAGGAGCTGAAAACAACTGAAACAGATTATTATTGCTTGTGTTTGTTGAAAAATACATGAGAAGAAGACATTGAAAAATTGCAATTAGAATATTTTCCAAAATCGTTCAGCCCTAATGTAAACCAACCACCACAATCATTTGAGGAAACTGCTGCAAAGTTTTTATATTTCTTAAAAGTATAGTTTCCTCAATAATTGGTGTGGTCAAAGATTAATCTATGGTAGATAAAGCCTCCATTGGCCACCCACTGGCTCCACCATTATGGTGGTGGATAAAATTTCTCCCTCCACTTGCCAAGAAATGTTACTCTGGTCCACCTGTGTTCTTCTCCACAGTGTAACTGATCCCCACTTGAATATTTTGCACCAAAAACATTAATGTTTACTTTCATTCTCTGTTCATTTACAGTCCAAAAATACAGTAATCTCAAAAAATACAAACATTCACTGTTTGAATCCCTCAGAAACGGGGGACATCGGCGTACTGCTTGATATTATTATTATCATTTTCCACCAGTATAGTTTTTAGATGTGGACATGTTTTCTATCAGAGGAGAGCTCTGATGTGTTCAAGTACAGCTTTACTGCTCCTGAGATGAGTTGGAGACACCCGTGATGACTGAATATTTCAAGAGAAATTGTTCACCCAAATTTTTGGAACGCGTTCAAAATTCAAACAACAAGAATGCAAAGCTCTGAGACTGACATGAGGAAACTCAGAACCCCCTCAAAGATTCTGAGACATGTTGAAACCCCTCCTCATGAATGTCATTCACCGACAAGTCTCACAAAGAGGCCGCTCAGAGACAAACTGTGTTAAAGGAAACAGGATGTTCACTGCAGTCAGACATGAGACAGTAGTGACAGCATAAAATACTTATTTAGGACCGAGAAGCGAAGCGCTGCGAAGGCCTATTGTAATTCTGCTGTTTATTATATTTTTCTTTTTATTCTCCTCCCTAAAAAAATGTTAATTTGGAGGGGTTAACATATCTGAAAACTCACCAAACTTTACCAAAAGTTGTCCCCCGTGTGAAATTTTAGTATTTTAATGGAACCACAAGTGGACGTGGCCAAACTGCTCTATAGCGCCTACTAACGTAAGATAGGACAACTGGTACATCCTAGAGAGCTGAAATTTGGTACATAGGTAGAACTCATTGAATCAAGAAAAAAAGTCTCTTGGAGGTATGCCCTAAACCCAACAGGAAGTCAGCCATTTTGGGTCAAATGGTCATTTTTGGCCATTATTCACTTTTCATACATGGCGAATTTGAACAAACTCTTCCTAGGCATTTTGAGATATTGCCTTCAAACTTGGTGGATATGACCTTAAGACATTGGGGAGTAATGTAATTTTAAAAATTGCGTTTTCATTCATGTTAAAGGGGCGTGGCCAGGCCTCAAAATTAGGCCTCACGCCGTAAATTTCCAAACGCTATAACTTTCACATTGACAGAACAAAACACACAAAACTTGGCAAAAGCCATCCCTGTCCGATGCCCGACGATCCTCTGTGGTCATATTCTGACGTCATCAAAGCCCCGCCCCCTCAGAACAGGAAGTCAATTTTTTTGCTTAGAATGCCCCCTCTCTTGACATCCTTGACCTAAACAAGATGATCCTGTGTTAGAAGACAGATAAGTTGGTCTGACTTGCTTTAAAGCACAAAGCGTTTTCGCTGGAGGATGTGGGCGTGGCGGCGTGGTGAATTCAGAAGTGACGCTGTTACAATACGTTTGGCGCTAAATTCCACAGATTTGATCCGAGGTTCATCAAAATCACTATGATCAATCATTGCCCAACCCTTGAACAGGAAGCCATGATAATTGGCCAATAGCCTCCACAGCGCCCCCTAGAATATTTTAAAACCTCAGCCCCAAGCCATTTTTTGACCGATAATTCTGAAACTCGGTTAATATGTGTATCTTCTCAGGACCTATGAAAAAGTCTCTAGGAGCCCCAGTCCAAAACCAACAGGAAGTCGGCCATTTTGGGTCAAAGGTTAATTTTTGGGCGATTTTAATTGCGAATTTTAACTAACTCCTCCTAGGGATTTTGAAGGATTGCCTTCAAACTTGGTTAATAGGCCTTTAAGACATTGGAGAGTAAAAGTTATCAAAAGCTTTCGGTTTCGTTTTGTTAAAGGGGCGTGGCCAGGCCTCAAAGTTGAGCTTCACACCATAAATTTCCAAACGCTATAACTTTCACATTGAAAGACAGAAATGCACCAAACTTGGCATGACTCATCCCTGTTGGATGTCCGACGATCCACTGTCGTCATATTGTGATGTCATCAAAGCCCCGCCCCCTCAGAACAGGAAGTCTCTTTTTTTAACTGGAATGCTCCTTCTTTGACACCCTTCATCTAATCAGGATGATCCTGAGTTAGAAGACAGATAAGATGGTCTGACTTGATTTAAACTACAAATAGTTATAGCTGGAGGATGTGGGCACGGCAGCATGGTGAATTAAAAAGTGACGCCGTTACAATATGTTTGGCTCTAAATTGCACAGATTTGAGCACAGGTGAACCAAAATCATTATGATCGATCATTATCCACCCCTTGAACAGGTTTCCATGATAAGTGGCCAAGAGCCTCCACAGCGCCACCTACATTCTTCCTAAAGTTATATCTCAGTGAAACAACATCCGATCTGAACCAAATTTATGGTGTATTATTAGTTAGCCCTGATGGACACATTGGTAATGTTGTTTAATATTTGACTCAAGTGTGCCCCCTACATTTTGCAAACTGTTATATCTCAGTGATACATCATCCAATCTGAAACAGATTTTGTGTGCGTCATTAGTGAGCATTTCGAGACACATTGGTATTGTTGTTTAATATTTGACTCAAGTGCGCCCCCTACATTATTCAAACTGTTATATCTCAGTCATATATCATCCGATCTGCACCAGATTTTTGGTGCGTCATTAGTAAGCACTTACGGACACATTAGTATTGTTTTTTTAACTTTTGACTCAAGTGCATCCCCTAGATTATTTAATCAGTTATATCTCTATGATGCATCATCCGATCTGCACCAGATTTTTGTGGCATAATGTGTTAGCATGTCTAGACACATTGGTATTATTGTTTAATATTTGACTCAAGTGCGCCCCCTAGATTATTCAAACTGTTATATCTCAGTGATCTATCATCCGACCTGTACCAGATTTTTGGTGCGTCATTAGTGAGCAATTCTAGAAACGTTGGTATTGTTCTTTATTATTTGACTCAAGTGTGCCCCCTACATTATTCAAACTGTTATATCTCAGTGAAATATCATCCGATCTGCACCAGATTTTTGGTGCGTCATTAGTGAGCATTTCTAGATACGTTGGTTTTGTTATTTAATAGCTGACTCAAGTGCGCCCCCTAGATTGTTCAAACTGTTATTTCTCAGTGATATATAATCCGATCTGCACCAGATTTTGGGTTCGTAATTAGTAAGCACTTATGGACACATTGGTATTGTTTTTAACTTTTGACTCAAGTGCGCCCCCTAGATTGTTCAAACTGTTATATCTCCGTGAAATATCATCCGATCTGCACCAGATTTTTGGTGTTACATTAGTGAGCACTTCTACACATATTTGTATTGTTGTTTAATATTTGACTCAAGTGCACACCCTAGATTGTTCAAACTGTTATTTCTCAGTGACATATCATCTGATCTGGAC